AAGGAAAGCGAGGAAAAGAGGGACAATTCAAACGAACTAAAAACGAACAATTGCTTTACTCCGAATTGCCGCTATTTTAAAGTGAAAGTAAAATGGGCACACCGCTTTTACAAGCTATTTAAAAGCGAAGGAAAGCGAGGAAAAGAGGGAATGCCCCGCCCCCGCGGTGATACCGGTATTATCGGTGTTGTCACACGCCGATTAACCGGTGGGAAAATTTCCTCACTGACACAACCCTAAATTAAACATTTATTAACATTTGAATGTTTACACAATGACAAGAAGACATCACAGAATCCATCAAACCCATTACTAAGGCTCACTGATATCTGTGCTGTTGTTTTCCTTGCAAAATGATGTCACTTCCTGGCGGGTGATGTCATTAAGGAACTGGCTTTTGTTGGTAAAGGAATTTTACAAAAGCAGGGTTTCTGCAAGTTTTATGAAGGTAAATGTAAGAATTTTTAAAGACCATTTTAAGACCAATTAACTAGAGTTTCGCTCTTCAAGTGACCTGTGCTATTTTTCCATTCATCTCAATGGATGCTCGGTGTACCTGTATTTGACGCACTGTAAACTCTAGTGTGAAGACGCACAACTCGCCGTCACTTTGCTGAGAGCACGGTTTCTCACACACACGCAAAGAAAGAAAGAGAGAGAGTCTTACATATCATGCAGAATTGACGCGCTACATGTAAACGATATTCTTTGTATTTTCCTGTCAAAATAACAGGGTTCATTTGGAATTCTTCAGCTTTTAAGAACAACCATAAGATACTGCCGGTTTCTCCGGTAGTGGGCGGAACTAATGCGCAAACAGCAAAGTCATTGGCTGGCGCTCTTCTATGATCATCCTTGTTTTGATTTCAGCAAATCAGTTCGAGAGAACGCAGACAACGTGATTAATATACATGAGCCCAACAGCTCATTAATCCTTAGTGTGTTTTATCAACATTACTATACATTTTCATTATTATATGCACATGGCTATATTTTCATTAAAATTTATTTTGTGCATTTTTATTAAATTATACAAGCAGGCTACTTTTTTAAATAATTACACATTTATAATAAATCAAAACAATTAAGAATTTAACCAACTAATTATAGGTTCAAAACATACAAGCAAATATAAAGTGCTGTTTGATTATTACTGATGACATCATAGACAGTGGCAGCTTTAATAGGCTGCATTCACACTAATGCACAGATCTATTTCGACATATCAGATGTTGTGTCCTGTTCTGAAAACATAACTGACTGTGTTACCATCAATTTCGTATCATAAAAGTATCCAGAGATGCAAGTGCATTTAACCGCAGCCATGAGCTTCAGGACAAACAAACACAAAGCGCACATGAAAGTCTGTCAGTACGTGATCACCATTGTGCTCTTGATCAAAACACTTAATCCCAGGATGCTCCAGGGGGATTGTATCTGAAATAATTTCATGGTGTCGACTTGGTTCGGACTCCATAAATCACTGTTTACCTTACCGACTAGTGTTTGGTATAAAAGCAGAGGCCAAATGGAGTTTACTATCTCGACATGACCCCACTCAGATGCATTTCAGCAAATCAGCTACTACGACTGGGTGCTGCATCACTAATTAAAATTCATGAGCCAAGCTTTCTTCGTTCGTATGCCCCTACTTTTTTTTTTTGTGGATAAGCATAGCAGTCTCAAAAGAGTAGGCCCGTCTGCAAATACAAGCAAATACAAGCGCCAGAGAGACTGCACACTGCCCGCAGTGACGATAATTCAATTTGCGCATATGTGCATTTGTATGCGCAGTCACTGGCGCCTGACCTCCAATACATAAACAAGACAAGGGTTTCTCCTGCAGCTCTCCATGTATTTCTTCACCTAGACTCAAATCAGAATCGATTCATTCCATTTCAGTGTCAAATTCAATTCTGCTCCCTACGGTCGCACTACCTGGAACTACAATTCTCTTCCATTTTCTACCACCGAGAACACGGACAGCCAGAACTTCGGGAGTTTCCAGACGTTACACTATTGAGCGTCACCTTCCAAAGACCTCCAGAAAGCTGATTAAAAGCATCAGTCTATATTCACTGCTTAAATCAGTAATGACAGCTGTGAAGACAGCCCAAGGTTAACAAGATGATTTTAAGTGTGCCAAAAGGCGTTTAAATATAATATAACGCACAAGCAACCGCTTCCAGTACATAATGCCGTGACTTGCTCACTCACCTTATGTTTAGTAACGCACTTAAAAGCTCACATCTCTCACCGCAGGGCTAGAAACAAACCACAATCTACATGTTTAGTTGATAAAAGGTTTAAATGAGCGAGGCACTACAGCAAAACGCTCTTCAGTGCAGAAAAAAAACAACAAAAAAAAACTACTTTTCACTGGAGAAGCTCTTTTTCTTTTTCATTATGGAATATGATGTCAGAAAAAGGCATGTGTTAAGTCACGAGCGCCTGAATAACTTCAGACTCAATCACTTTTTTTCTCAGTTTCTCTTCAAATAGCTACCACTGGTGATCTTTAGCAAAGTCCTCAAAAACAAATAGAATATCTTCCTACTTCACCTGAAAACACCCTGATGGTGGGATACATGTATAATGGATAAAATGGATGCACGGCCAAGACTGAAGCATTCAAACCTATACACGCTGAATTTATATTGATAGCGTTTTTACATAGCAGCATTTCTGCAACATATTTCTCTATTACACATATCCAGGTGTCCTTATGAATACATTCTGAATGTGTTTACTCAAAAGTTGTTTTGTCCCTGCCGTGAATAGCAAGTATTTGTTAAAGTGTACATTTCAATCTCAAGCTCCTGGATTCCAGGCCAAATTGTGCTTCTCATTTTATTTTGTCATTCCATAGCAATCCATGAATAAATAAAGATATGCACAGGTCGCACACATCGCAAATTTAAAAACTGCACAAGTAATGCAAGGAGACTTG